CGCACAAAGCCATCTTAAGCACCGCGCACAAAGCCATCTTACGCACCGCGCACAAAGCCATCTTACGCACCGCGCACAAAGCCATCTTACGCACCACGCACAAAGCCATCTTACGCACCGCGCACAAAGCCATCTTACGCACCGCGCACAAAGCCATCTTACGCACCGCACACAAAGCCATCTTACGCACCGCGCACAAAGCCATCTTACGCACCGCGCACAAAGCCATCTTACGCACCGCGCACAAAGCCATCTTACGCACCGCGCACATCAAAGACGTTCATTTTTGTGCACCAATAAAAACTTAAATAAAACGTTCATGAACGACCTGGCCGCAGCGCAAAATCATGATTTCTTTTTTTTTGTACAGCTCATTTTAGGAAAAACGTAAACACGGTTTTCCGGATCCAGACATTTCCTACGGCACGAAATGCATTTCTTCCATCCTACACCATGTCATGAACACATCTATAAGAAAAAACATTACAAAAATCCTTCCTAATTACCGACATCTCACCACATAATGACACACAGCATCCAATTACTACAATAAGGAACAGAATATTTTTTTTCAAAACTCTTTCAAGGCAAATTTAGCAATAATAATTTTATTACAAAAAAAGAAAATAATTGCATCATAACTTAAAATTGTTCATTGTGACATGCCTGGTTGTTCATGTGATGACATCATCTCCGTCTGGGTTCGATTTGGGCTCTTTGCTGGTAAGTTTATTATCTAGCTGGGCCAGAAAGGGCAGGAGTCCGTACAGCACCCCGGAAATGAGAAAGCACGCGCCGACAATATGCATGACGTCAGCAAAACCACCCGTAGCTTCCGCGATAGCACCTGCAAATGTTTCAAACAAAACAAATCTGATAGCTTAGTCATTACAACACGCTTTGGGAAGAGTTTAAAAATTCAGTTCGCGGGTAAAGCACAAACAAAATTGTGTAAATCGTAGCAATCTGACACAGTCTCAAAGACTCCCTATTAAAATTGCCGCTAGTGTTTTCGAATGAGGGAAACTCCGAGCCTGTCAGCTTGGTCACTTTCAAAATAGGGTTTGTCAAAAAGACATTTTCTACGATAAAAAATCAAAATTCATTCTCCCTACAATAGCATCTTCCTTGGCATCAATAATTCATAAATATTGCCTGCTCCTTCTTTCTGTTTGAACAAGTTTTAACATTTAAAGCCTTCATGTAGAAGGAAGGGGTGGTTGTTCCTGTACTCAAACAGAGCGATACTTGGGTGTCTACTCAAACAGAACACTAACTATCGAAAATCACATTAACATGCTTTGCAAGGCGATTTTTCTAGAGCTGGGCAGAATTAGTCACATCAGACCTTTCTTAACATTAGACGCATCGAAGAGGCTGATGTCTGCATTCGTGCTATCACGCATGGACTACTGCAATGCTCTTATGGTGGGTCTTCCAGATACGCTCCTGGATAAAATTCAAAGAGCACAGAATAATGCGGCTCGCGTTGTTATTCGAAAACGCAAATTCGTCCATTCTAAAACACTTCTGAGAGAGTTGCATTGGCTGCCGGTCCGGGCTCGCATAGAGTGCAAAATTGCAACCCTGTGCTACCGCTGCTTGCATGACCTGGCACTGTCCTATCTCAAAGCGCTACTTACGCCTTATGTACCCACTAGACAACTCCGCTCATCTGATATTGGAAAACTCTCGATAACACGTGTTCGCCTTGAGACTTACAAGGGGCGCACTTTCGCATTTCCTGGGCCAGCAATTTGGAACACTCTTCCTATCGCTATCAGAAACAGCCAGACACTGGAGTCTTTCAAAACTGATTTTAAGACTTATCTTTTTCGCAAAAACCTGCTGGGGTGATGCTGTCTATCTAGCTATTATCTTTTAGTTGTATATTGGCCTGTGTTGTTTATGGTTGCAAGGTATGAAAGATTTAGAATGGGTATTCTTGTATGTAGTTTTGTAATGTTGAATTTTTTGATTGACTGCTTTTGTTATCAAAGGTATATTATAAAGTGAATAGCAAGACACTAAGTAAAACCAATTGTGGCACTAACCGAACATTGGGTTCATGACTGCGACAGAGAGGGTCCCCATGGTTGAAATAATACTGTAAGCTTGCGGCATCTTCTCCGTGCCCACCACCTCTATGGTCATCAGCGGCATCATGCTGACCCGGGTACCAACGAAAAGACCGATGATGACCACCATGATGATCAGGGTCTCAAACGACGTGAAGAAGCGGATGAACTGCAATAAGACTCCTGCAAGATTGAAAGAAATACCTTGACATGATACAAGACAACTGTGAGATTTAAAGAAATACCTTGACATGATACAAGACAACTGTAAGATTTAAAGAAATACATTGACGTCATACAAGATACCTGTAAGATTGAAATACCTAGTCCTGATACAAGATCCCTGCAAGATTGAAAGAAATACCTTGACATGATACAAAACACATGTAAGATTGAAAGAAATACCTTGATATGATACTACACGCTTGTAGTGAGATATAAAAACACAACCTGTTATTTCCTTACTCTACTCCTATCCAACATTGGAACTTGGTGTAAATTGATTGGCACTTTTCTGTACGTTGATTGGCACATGTACAACCGTCTCTCTTAGGCTAGTGTGCAATACAGGCAGTTCAGATCCCTTTTGTTCCTTAGCTATATATCTCGGCTATAAATGTAAAAAGCAAGGCGCTATATTTAGCACACTTTTAACCATGTGAAATTTACAAAAAAAGCAGAAAATTATGCACTCATACCCAGACAAATTTGAGATATGGCAAAAAGTTGAGATGGCTTCAGCATGTGCGTGTTTGCGAAACACCCAAGACCAAATTTAATGCCCAAATCGACAGCACCCACAATCGTCAGTAGTAGAGCGCCCTGATCCGGAGTGGCTCCCCTTGCCTGTGCGATGGCGGGTATGTAGTTCCGTATATACATGTTTACCGCCCCTGGTAAGCAGGCGACCATCATAACACGATACTGCCACATACTGAGAACAAAAATTAAGAAATTCATGGATTGGATAACGTAAGCAGTTTCTTTGAGGATATACCATTTCCCGTAAACCCCAGTGGCATTGTAACATCACGTGCCAACCACCCCACCCCTGTGTAACATTTATGCATCCGCATGCTCCCACCACATACATCCTAATACTAAACATGTCATATAGTTACAGCCTGTAACATGCCAATTAGACTAATGAGTGTAGCAATTAAAAGAGTAAATTCAAGTAATATTTTTTTTCATTGTTGAAGGGAGAAACCAATTGAGAAAACCAAATTTAATGGAACTTTTATATATATATATATATATATATATATATATATATATATATATATGTGTGTGTGTGTGTGTGTGTGTGTGTGTGTGTGTGTGTGTGTGTGTGTGTGTTTTTTTTCTTGTGTGTCTGTAAGCTTCATGCGTTCCAGATGACCTAAGGTAAAAAGGTTGAATTTTTTCGGAGGCGACTATTATATTAATCAATAAATAGCCACGGGTGTGGTGTAAGAAAGCCTGTAGGACATTCTGTATGAATATGTGTAGGAATGTTTATACCAATTGTTTAAAGGCCGGCAGGTAGGGTATAGGAATGTATGTAGGCCTTTTTTTTTTTAAAATGGCATATACTATATAAAACGAGAAGTTAACTATATTTGGTAATACTTGGACCCACTGGACCCACTGGACCCACTGGACCCACTAGCTCTTTTCTGAAAATACCCAGAAAAAAACAACTACCCCCCCCCCAGTTAAGCCCTAGTATTAAAATTATGTTACAGAGATAGAGAAAGTAAGCTCAGCTCCGCATCGCTCCAACTTTGACATTGACTTACCCGAGAAGTTAACTATATTTGGTAATACTTGGACCCACTGGACCCACTGGACCCACTGCACCCACTAGCTCTTTTCTGAAAATATTTCTGAAAATACCCAGAAAAAAACAACTACCCCCCCCCCCCAGTTAAGCCCTAGTATTAAAATTATGTTACAGAGACAGAGAAAGTAAGCTCAGCTCCGCATCGCTCCAACTTTGACATTGACTTACCCGAAGAAACTCTCGTCACACTGCACTAGGAACCACTTCCGTAGCCCGCCGAACTTTCGATCTGGGGCGTCATCAACCTCGAGGCTCAACATCCCGGCGTCGACGCCCATGGGTCCAGCCTCACTTGTTAAACTCATGGCACTGGCGTGCAAGCTGAGGGAGGTTAAAGATTAGATTCGTGGATTTAGTGGGGAGATTAGATTCGTGGATTTAGTGGGGAGATTAGATTCATGGACTTAGTGGGGAGATTAGATTCATGGACTTAGTGGGGAGATTAGATTCGTGGATTTAGTGGGGAGATTAGATTCGTGGATTTAGTGGGGAGATTAGATTCATGGATTTAGTGGGGAGATTAGATTCATGGACTTAGTGGGGAGATCAGATTCGTTGATTTAGTGGGGAGATTAGATTCGTGGATTAAAGGGGGAGGGTAGATTCGTGGATTTAGTGGGGATATTAGATTCATGGACTTAGTGGGGAGATTAGATTCATGGACTTAGTGGGGGGATTAGATTCATGGACTTAGTGGGGAGATTAGATTCATGGACTTAGTGGAGAGATTATATTCATGGACTTAGTGGGGAGATTAGATTCATGGACTTAGTGGGGAGATTAGAGTTATGATCGTAGGTCGGGGGGGGGGGGGGGGGGGGGAGATTACAGTCATGGTCGTAGTGGGGATATACGAGGCATGGTCTTAGTGAGTGGGGAGATTAGAGTCAAGATCGTATCGTAGTAAGGAGATTAGAGACAATCTCGTAATGGGGAGATTAGTGTTAAGATCGTATAGTAGTAAGGAGATTTGAGACAATGTCGTAGTGGGGAGATTAGAGTCAAAATAGTTTAGTAGTAAGGAGATTGGAGACAATGTCGTAATGGTTAGATTAGAGGTAAGATCGTATAGTAGTATAGAGATTAGAGACAATGTCGTAGTGGGGAGATTAGAGGTAAAATCGTATAGTAGCATGGAGATTAGAGACAATGTCGTAGTGGGTAGATTGGAGGCATTGTCGAAGCTGGGATATAGAGATGGTAATAAGGGGGTGGAGGAGACTGCTATCACGTTAAGTAGAAGGAAATAAGCAAAACAAAGCATGGACCAAACTGGGGGAAAAAGTATGCCATTAAATTAGGAACGTGTCGGCAAGAAGTCTTCTTCATCGAACCAACAACGTATTGGGGTATGGTGCTGAGATTGGGAAATGTTATTAGTGGGAATGGTCAAGAGTCAGGGCAAAATGATTTTGCCAGGGGCTGAACATAATAATAATATTTTGTTGCGGTTGCACTCTGATTAGGAATCAAATAATTTGCAAATTATAAAAAGTGTAATCATGATATTGTTCATTACATATTGTCTTCAGACCATCCAGTGATGTCATTCGTGGCAGATATATCCGGAGTCTAAGATCCCTTTTCTTACCCCTCCAGTGGTGCAGGCAGTTGGTATTGATTGATCGGTAGATTGATTGATTGATTTAGTACTTCTATAGTTCTTGTGTCCGTGGTTTACGACGTAACATGAAAACGAGAAGTGCAAAGATATTGCCTGTGCAATATTTTTAAGTTGCTTGACTACACACCTGGATTGCATGCTATTATTTATTTTTTTTAAACGATTCCAAAAGAAAAAAAAACAGACAGAAATTGTACAAACATTACTATGACTTACTTGCGTCTGTGAGTGTGTCCGTAATCTCGTTGTTCACTAACCCTGGTTTGTGCACCACTTCTACTGAACGTTCCCTCTGATTTCACGCTATTCTCTCTCTTGTACTGAAGGTGTTCATTGTCTTGATGGGGAGACGTGCCGTCGGCGGGCTCATTACGTAACACATCGTAACTGAGGTCTCCTTGGGATCTCTGGGCATCACCATGTAAAGTCTGCATCTCGTTCAAGTCTTTATCTGGTTCCATTTGAAGAGTTTCTGCGTCAATTTTAGTTGTTTCCTTTTCTTTTATGCTGGACTTCAGGGGAGGAAGTTCTGGGCGGAATCTAAAGATTTTTCAAATATATTTGTCTTCAAAAGATTATAAACGCAGTTTTTACACACATTTTTAGGGCCGGATTTTCTATAATGCCAACCTAGGCCATGGCCTAGGGCGCAACAGTCAGGGTGGCGTATATTCAGAAGAAATAATAACCATATATTTAGCCTACCAATTGTTTAGCATAATTTGAAAAGGGACATATAAAATGCTGTAATGGTGTAGGTTTATATTGGAAATAAAAATTTCTTCAAAGATTACAAAGATTTTATTTTTTGATTATGTTTAAAAATAAACTATTACATATTAAATTGGACATTTTATATAAACTTTTTTTTCCCGGGGACATTTCATATAAAAAAATTCCGGGGGGGGGAGGGGGGTGCAGAATTATGTGCTTTAGGTTAGACAGTAGGAATGGTGTCAATCCGGCACAGCCCATCAATCCGGCACAGCCCATCAATCCGGCACAGCCCATCAATCCGGCACAGCCCATGTTTCGTTTGATGTGTATGTGTTGTTGTTTCTTTTACTTTGACCAACAATATCTCATAAAATTAATCTATTTTTTGAGGCAAAACGTGGGGAAAACAACATCTGTTTTAAAGAAATGCTCCTTTAAAAAAATTAAACCAATTTAAAAAAGTTGAACATACACACAGCAATCGTGTGTGCATCTTGTAATATTAAGACAGGAAAACATTAAAGTTCTATTAGATCTCAATATACTGCTAAGTGTTTACCAACAACACACAGATTAAAGTTGTGTAAATAGATTAAAATTATCTTCACACTGCTGTCAGTTTTTAAAGCAATTAAAAAGTCGTTTTTTGCATTGATTCTTTTGTACATCTTTTTAATGACAGATAGTGGCAGTGTCACATGATTGAATGCGTTTTATTATGACAAGGCCACCACCCACGCCCCCAGTCCACACTTGTATGTGACCCCCCCCCACGCCCCATTCCTCACTTGTACATTGCGATGGGCCTTAGCAGGAGCGCCACCGCTAGAAAGTTGAGTTCCAGGCCGGCCTCCAGCAGGAGCGTCCCTCTGATGCCAAACTCGTTCCTTACGGCCCTTATGATGGGCGGGGCTACGATGAAACCGACGCTCGTGCCGCTGGAGCAGAAGATCTGGGACAAGGACTGGTATTTGTGAAAGTAGTGTCGGATGAGGCTGATGGTCGCCACAAACATGAGTCCGGTGGAGACACCTTGGAACAAAGAACAATGATCAGGTGGACACCTTTCATGGGTTTTTAAAGCGTTTTGAAATATCGAGCGTAGTTCGATCACAAATAAAATACAAAAGAGAGGCTACTCTTAAAACAAAACTACTGCCATTGCAAGTATATTATGTTATTGTAGGACTATATTGTGTTGCTCTTTCGCTTACAGAGATAAGTCTTATATCTTACAAACAACTGCGTTGGACTTAGGAAACTCTGAACTCTCATTTTACGGGAGGGATAACTCTTGGTGAAAAGCGAAATCTCATTTGGCAGTTTTAAAAATGTAAATGGTCTGTCCAGGTAGGAAGATTGCCACAGTACGTCAAATCAGAATTAAAGCTTTTGCACTCGCTCACGTCAAGACAAACACAGACTATTTCCTCCTTTACATGCTTAAAGGTTTGTTTTAAGATTGATTTTAAAAATGAAATAAACCTTTCATTCAGCTACCACTTTCGAAAAAATATGTTGTTAAAACAAATATTTTTCGTCGCTGATTTAATGATAACTAATTATGGTGGTATCGATACATTGAAGTGTTCGGAGACTTAACTACTACGGGCGCCGACTGCTTACTCACCTTTGAATACGGAGAAGACCAAGAACACAGCGATGCTGGGCGAAAGCGCGTAGCCAATGGTTGAGGACGCCATGAGGACTCCTCCACACAGTACCATCTTTCTTTCGCCCAAGCGAGGGGTCACGAAAGTAGTGGCCACCACAGCTGGGGAAATGCGAAACGTCATCAAACTCAAGCACACTTGGTGTGTAGTGTCAAGCACACTTGGTGTGTAGTGTCAAGCACACTTGGTGTGTAGTGTCAAGCACACTTGGTGTGTAGTGTCAAGCACACTTGGTGTGTAGTGTCAAGCACACTTGGTGTGTATTGTGTCTAGCACACTTGGTGTGTAGTGTCAAGCACACTTGGTGTGTATTGTGTCAAGCACACTTGGTGTAGTGTCAAGCACACTTGGTGTTTAGTGTGTCAAGCACACTTGGTGTGTAGTGTCAAGCTCACTTGGTGTGTAGTGTGTCAAGCACACTTGATGTGTAGTGTCAAGCACACTTGATGTGTAGTGTCAAGCACACTTGGTGTGTAGTGTCAAGCACACTTGGTGTCACTTGGTGTGTAGTGTCAAGCTCACTTGGTGTGTAGTGTGTCAAGCACACTTGATGTGTAGTGTCAAGCACACTTGATGTGTAGTGTCAAGCACACTTGGTGTGTAGTGTCAAGCACACTTGGTGTTTAGTGCCTATGCGTAGCAAGGGAGGGTGAAGAGGGCGGTCCTCTCTGTTCGTATTGGGTGGCGGACCTATTCTTGGCCCGCCTCGGATGGCACTAAACCTATCGGCGTAACGTGGACCACAGCAGTGGACCACAGCAACAGAATAAACTGTGGATTGTCTTCAGTGAATCCAGCCAGTTTACTATGTATATGGCTAAGCCATCCGTCTTATCTAATCCCTGAAGGACAATTTAGAAAATGACAAATATGAAAAAGAGCTTAGACATCACAAATAATATTCTCTAAGTATGTAATGTGTGGACATGTTCAGTAGGCGCGCTAAATAAAAATCCCACACGTTAGCACTATTTGGGATTCTTTTAAAGTGCGTTACTTGAATGCATGTTTTGTCAAGTAACTTTAGTAGCCGGTAAGGTCATTGCTTGGCGGGGTTTTTTTTCTTAACTATATTATATTTATACTAAAACTATTTTATTTCATGGCATGTACGTTAAATGTCAAATCATTGCCGTGCGCCCGTAGTCAGTATAGTTTCTTACACCAACAACAAAATAATGCTGACTTAGGGAACTTGATATTTTCTCAAGAGTTTTAGATCCATTGTTTAAAAATAGCCTTATTTAGATTTCAATTACACGAATGCAATTGTTAGCCAAAAAATGAGACGCCTTGTAATTTACTTACGGGATCTTATACAGGGAGATTGGCAAATACTAATTTCAGTTAAGTATCTCAACTTACAAACAAAGCTGAAAGTCAGAGTGCTTAACATGAAGACAAGGGAGGTGGTGGTTATGGTGCTTTCGAACTTCTCTACCAGTTCGGTAAACAGCACCACCATTAATTGGTTGGAGAATCCGAACAGAACATAGGAGATGAATCCAGCTGCAACGGTATTGACTTATAAAATGCATTTATACAAAATCATATCATCAAAAAATCGTCAATCTTAATGTTTTTACCTCGTATCTTCGATTGTAGTTTAACGATGGAGCCCATGAAGATTTACGGGGGAATATTGGAATATGTTATATTTTTTTTTAAAGCTGGCCATCATTTCAATTTTGTTAAAGCATTTAAAAATTTAATAAATTTCCTAACTCTGTTCATTGTTGATAGCATTTCAATTAAAAGTTCACTTTCAGATAGCTCATCATAGGAAGTGGGAATGGAAAGCGTGAACTCTTCTTTAGTCACCAATGCTAGACTCTTAGCATGAACAGCATAAAACATATCTGATACTTCCTTGATGGCTCTTGATCTGATCTGGAGTCAGAATGAAAATTATCAATGCACTCAAGCATCGCTCCCATTTATGCGTCTTGTAAAGTGGGTCCAGCGTCTCTTGATTCCAATGCTGGCATTTTCTTCACCCATCTGGTCTTCCCCATGAAGCTACATCAAGTCTGCCTGCTCTGATGACACCCTGATCTGGTGACACCTTGCTCTGGTGGTGGCACCCTGCTCTCGTGGCACCCTTCTCAAGTGGCACCCTGCCCTGTTTAAACCCTGCACTGGTGGCGCCTTGCTCTGATGACACCCTGCACTGGAGACACCCTGCTCTGGTGGTTGCACCCTGCTCTAGTGGCGCCCTGCTTTTGTTGAACCCTGCTCTGGTGGCGGCACCCTGCTCTAGTGGCACCCTGTTCTGGTGGCACCCTGCTCTGGTTGAACCCTGCTCTGGTGACACCCTACTCTGATGACACCCTGCTCTGGTGGCACCCTGCTCTGGTGGCACCCTGCTCTGATGGTACCCTGCTCTGGTTGAACCTTGCTCTTGTAGCGCCCTGCTCTGGTGACGCCCTGCTCTGGTGACATCCTGCTCTAGTGGCACCCTGCTCTGGTGACACCCTACTCTGGTGACATCCTGCTCTAATGGCGCCCTGCTCTGGTGGCACCCTGCTCTGGTGGCGCCCTGTTGTATTGAACTGAATTCTTTAATGAAACCAACCTGAGTGAACTTTAACAAAATTATTTTTTTCCATTGTTGCCCCCCCCCTCTTTTCATTCCATGATGGGATCAACTGTTGTGATCTCCACCTGTTGTATTGAACTGAATTCTTTAATGAAACCAACCTGAGTGAACTTTAACAAAATTATTTTTTTCAATTGTTGCCCCCCCCCCTCTTTTCATTCCATGATGGGATCAACTGTTGTGATCTCCCCTCCCCCCCCCGGCAGCCCCCTAGTGACGCCACTGTATATTGTTCGCTTAGCCTAAAGGGGGCGATTGATCTATTAAAATAATGTAGATTCTCGCTTTACCCAATTTGGAATTTTGTATCCTTGAAATTTTGTATTGGATAATAAAAACTTGCGGCATAATTGCCGTCTAAACAGAATATATTAAATATTATCGCAGAAGGGGCACAGTAGAATAACTCTTCTCTGGCCATCTTAATGAATACAGACAGTTGGTGCTTCAAAAAACGTTTCTACCAAAAATATTCTTTTCTGACTCACCAAAACAGACGGCCCACGCCCAACCACGGTCAACTGGTAAAACATTTCTCTTGTAGTACTCCGAGCTCCTGTCTATGACGTCCGGCTCTTCTTCCACGCGCAAGCAAACGCCTTCCTCATCTGACGACGTCATGTTCATAAATCTTGGGCGGTGCCTGATGTCGCTAAAGGCTAGGTGGGATTAGGCCTAGGGCCTGCAAACTCTAAGGGGCCTCAAAATTTAAGAAGCAACATTTCATAGATTCTATTCTTTTAAAATATGTATCGTTTCTAAAATAATCAAATTAAAACAGCTTCACTGACAAAAAAATTAATCACAAAGTAATTTTAAGCAAACATTAAATAATAATGAACACTGCAGCTGTATAAGAGGCATATTTATATTTTATGATCCTATCGAAATCTAACACAGAACTATCACACTTGGGATAAGCATGGTTGATTCAGGGGCTTGATTGGTATATTGTATAGATCATAATGGTGACTGAAAATGAAGCCCAGGGCGGGCATGAGACAATGCTACTAATGTGGTTGATAGGTACAATGGTGTGCAGCAAAGCTGGCTGATGGGTACGATGGTATAAAGCAAAAATGGCTGATACGTACAGGGGTGTGCAGAAAATATAGCTGATAGGTACAGGGGCGTACAGCAATTACGGCTGATAGGTATAATGGTGTGCATCAATTATGGCTGTTAGATACAATGATGTGTAAGAAAAATGGCTGATTGGTACAATGGTGTGCAGCAATTATGGCTGATATGTACAATGGTGTGCAGCAATTATGGCTGATATGTACAATGGTGTGCAGCAATTATGGCTGTTAGATACAATGATGTGTAACAAAAATGGCTGATTGGTACAATGGTGTGCAGCAATTATGGCTGATATGTACAATGGTGTGCAGCAATTATGGCTGATATGTACAATGGTGTGCAGCAATTATGGCTGTTAGATACAATGTTGTGTAACAAAAATGGCTAATAGGTACAATGGTGTGCAGCAATTATGGCTGTTAGATACAATGTTGTGTAACAAAAATGGCTGATAGGTACAATGGTGTGCAGCAAATAAATCATTGAACTAGAAAATGTTAAGTTTAATCCATGATGTGCTCATTCTTTCAATTTAAACATCTATTCTTTGCTGCTCATTGCTGTCTTGGTTTAGTGAACCGTTATGGAACTATCACAATGACACTAGTTATCCTGATTGTAGTGATTCGATACAGTGCGTCATAAGTGGTGAAAGGGTAATTATGAAAAAAAAATGTATGCATTACTTTTTTGATAGATGTGTTCCTGAGATTGTGTAAGGTGGAAAAATCGCAAATTGGGACATATAAAATGCCTGGATCCAGAGATCCCCGCTCGTGTTTCAACTTATATGAGCTATACGATTTTGTAAAAATCATGATTTTATGCTGCGGCTAGTCCCTAGTTGGTTTATGTAAGTTTTTATTGGTGGACTAAAAATGAACGTCTTTCCTGTGCGCGGTGGGTAAGACAGCTTTGATCATGACATGAGGACATTGTGTTGTGCACTATAAACTGGACGTCTGAATGTGATGACGTGCATCATGATTGAAGCATCATTCCTAAACCTAGACAAAGAGGAGCAACATTTTATTTCTTTCAAAAAAAAAAAAAAAAGCCACTGTCGTAGCGAGTGAAAAGTAAGTTCGCCTCACGACAAATGGGTTCCATGACAAAACGACAAATGACATATAAATCCTATAGCCCAATACTATAAATTAGTTCAGCATACCTTGTTATAATATTTCATTGACACATTAAATCAGGGGAGGGTATGACTACGTACCGCTGAAGGCGGCGCCCGTGCTAGTTCACTTATCATAATTTCTTCTAAGAGACGCCTAGTTTTAAAAGCAATCTCATTCAAAATTGATTAAATATCTATCACAAACCAAGTGAAATGCACATACAAAAAGCAACAGAGGCTTATTTTGAAAGCCACTGGGTTACCGCAATAATAAGAAATTTGACCTCCCCCCCCCCCCCCAAAAAAAAAAAAAAAAAGAAAAAAAAAAAAAAAAATTGTAAAAAAAAAAAAAAATCGCTTACCAGAGATGAAGGATGTAAGACAAGACTCCCCAGCAAGGCGGCTTACTCCAAGATGTGTTATTCTTTGAGAATCATGGTTTGTTCCGAACAACCAAATGCTAACATGATGTCTTAACGAAAGGTCTGAATGAAAGCTGCCTCTCTCAAAACTTCGTTTTCATCAGAAATGACAACTGTGTATTTCAGGAAACGGAGTTAAACAAAGGGTAAAAATAGTGTTCTTATTATGACTATAGCACGGATCTAGTCAACCTACCCAAACTAAGCGTATATTTGACATCTTGAATCTATCTCAACAACACGGCACAGTCATTTGATCTCACTGTGTTTCATCCTTTGTCAAGCTTCATATCCAAAATAAATCTTATTTTTGTGACTAAAGTACAACATAGCAGTACACACTTTAGTGAAGAAACTTGTTGAAACAGATCAAACAGTGCCGAGATGATATGACTCGAGTATTTTTCTTATTGCGTCCCCACCTTTAAGGATGTAGCCCTATTTTAGGAAACTCAGCCGGAGCAAAGATTGTGTTGTGTTACGGAATGCGATAAGATAAGCAAGTCTTATGGTGACATAATGTACGAATGTATCGTTCTACGTCATAATGTGTTCACTTAGTTTAGACTTGTAAAATACTGCCTTACCTTTCCTTATGGATGTATCCACACCACTGCCTTTCCTTATGGATGTATCTACACCACTGCCTTTCCTTATGGATGTATCCACACCACTGCCTTTCATTATGGATGTATCCACACCACTGTACCATCTGGCCGAAACGTCCGTTTAAAAAAATCGTGACTTTTTTGTTTCAAGCCTAAACATATCTTGTTACACTATTTGTTTGATTTTATTTTTCTTAGTTTCGAAGGATTGTTACATATTTTCGGCGGAGAATCCTAACGGGCACATCCAGACACGTGGGCCTCAGAGACAGGTTCATGAGACACAGACCCTTATCCGGTTGAAAAATACAAATGAATATAACTTATAGCCTAATGACGTTTACTTAATGTATACATAAATAAGCCTATTCATTATCGTTCTTGAAATTAATTTTGGTGCCCACGACAGCCTGCCATCTCTGTCTATTATTATTAATGGATCCAGTCCTATTTCCAGACTGATTTTACAAATCGAGTATTTTATACCACACAAATATTTAGCGTCTGTGAATTGTGAATGTGAAGATTTAATTGTTCCATTGTTTATTGATTCTTTATCGTATATGGTACGTCTGATGACATTGACCATCACAAAATTTGGTGTCTCAAATGTCACATTTCTTTCTAGATATATTCGACCCACTGATTCGATAAATGACACCAGGTCTCCCCTATCAGCATTAGTTTTTGAGACATTGAACAGGTATGATTTTGAGGCTTGGTGCATTATATTATCTAATATCAATTATTTAAAGAACAGTGTGCTAAATGAACACACACATATTTCACACCTAAAGTTTGAATTATGTCACATCAAAAAAATGTAAGACTTCTGATGGCAAGATCACATCTTCAAGGACAATGTCAAATGATATTCCAACACAAATCTTCATCATCTGTGAATGTCATCATCATTGGAATCTGCCTGCCGTTTCAAGTATATTTCAAGATAAATTAATCACAAGATTTGGTACGTTGACGACTTCATACGGTATAAACCAAATCCACAATTTTACATAACTGTCATGTCTTTCCCTTTTTGTTGTTTTTCAAATCGACTCACTTACTTTCCGATCTTTTGAACTCTGATTTTGTCAGGAACTTTCGTCCACTCTTATTCTTTTCTCTAATTTTCAGGTAGGATAATACATGTATATATTTTTATATNTTTACTGATAAAAGCATTTGTCGAAACGTTTACATTTGTATTTTATACGTTCTTTACTAAAGCTGAACTTACATTGTTTTATTTACACAATTTACACAAATTTTTTGTGTCGTGTTAATCAAGTAAAGGAAATTGTGAAATCGTTCACTTCACTCCTTGTCTAAAATTCTCCAAAACATTGTACTATTTGGCTAAATTAAAGTTGTTATAATTTTTTTACAACACAATAAATGAAGATCGGGCATATGATTCAATTACATTCATTGATTCTATGTGGGCCATTTGTGTATTCTCTAAACCATTGGTTCTTAACCTTTTTTGAGGTACCGAACCCCAGCAGTTTCATATGCGCATTCACTGAACCTTTTTATTTTTAAAAATTTAATTTTTTTTTTTTTTTTTTTTTTTTTTTTTTTTTTTTGTACCTCCTCTGAACCCCTGAGACTGATTCACCGAACCCCTGGGGTTCGATCGAACCCAGATTAAGAACCACTGCTCAAAACTGTGGACCGAAAACAAGCAAGTTCCAGTACCATCGGCGGGCCGGATGAACTGGTCTCGCGGCCGGATGCGGCCCGCGGGCCGTAATTTGATGACCCCTGCGCCAAAGTAACAGTACTGAAACTCCCGCATCTTGATCGCGTACGTACCTCTTGTCAATGGTGAATAACTCCAGCTGAAACGTGGTCCTAGAAGTGAAACGGAAGATATGGCATTTGTTGGAAATGTGTATCTCAGTGGATGAAAACGAATTCATTGATGAACATTATTTTCCCCTACATCTAAGTGATCGTAAAGTGGGAAACTTGTTTTGAAAGGAAAAAAAAAAGTGGCAGAAGTATTCCGAGAGAGCTTTTTTAAAAAAATACGTCAACAAGTAAACATGGTTCTGGAAACACAACAAGGTCAGCGGAAGGGAAAGTCTGATCGACCAGTAAGTGAATGTGGCGAACCACGCATCAAACATTACTATTAAAATCTGGACCCTCGTACACAAAAGCGAGAAATTTCCACATTACATAATCATGGCTCAGATACCTGGCGCAGCCAAGCGTTTTTAAACATTTTAACAGTTTGTCCTTGTGTCTGTGCGTATATATATATATATATATATATATATATATATATATATATATATATATATATATATATATA